TGCCGATCCCCAGCTCTGCAGCCCGGTTCATCATGCCCACCACGAGTTCCTCGGTCACGTGGTTTGCGCCGGCGCATCCGTCGAGCATGCACTCGACCTTACGGTCGAGGACCTGGACTACCGTCCTGTACTGGTAGCCTCCTGGCTCGTTGTCCGCCAGGTTCCACCAGTCCTTCGGCAGATCGTCCAGTGGCGAACTTGTCCCGCCCGCCCTTGCTTAACGGAAGCGCGTGCTGCTGCACCGCGGCGCGTCCTGCGGCTCCTGAGACGCCTGCCTGGACGCCTGAGCTGCCTATCTGGACACTGAACGCGGCGAAGGGGTTAGACATGGAAGCACCGGAGGGCGGGGCCCAGTTGGCAGGCAAGGCCGGCGTCCCTCCTGAGGTCGTCAGGTTGTGGACCATGTCGCAGCTGGCTCCTTTCTTGCACGACCCATTCTTGGAGAAAAAGGGGCAAACAGTGCCTGGTGGCTTTGCCGCGCCTTTGGCCGCAGCCTTAGGCTTTGCGTTGGCCTTTGCCTTGCCACCTCCCTTCCCCTTGCCTTTACCTTTCGCAGTGGCAAAGGTTTGGTCACCCTTCTTGGCCGCGAGAGCTTTTCTGCGAAGCTCCTTGTCGTGGCTGTACGGGCAGGCATCCCCTTTCGGGCAATTCCCGTGATCGCGAAAGTGGAAGCAGATCTTCTTGTCCGCTCCTTTGCCAGCTCCCTTCGACGCAGCGGCAAACGTCTGGTCCGCGCCAGCTTTGGCCGCGGCAGCTGCTCCTTTCGCAGCAGCCTTCGCAGCGGCCTTGAGGCTCTTAATCTCCTTCTGAGCCTCGGCTAGCGCGACCGACGGGTCCGCGCTCTGAGAGCCGGTCGCTGAGTACACAGAGTGGGAAACAGCCCTGTGAGCTGCCTCCCTCTGCTCGTACTCCAAGACGACCTTGTGGCTCTCCTCCCAAGTCTGCGGCCCTCGCAGCCCGCCATCCTTGGGATCGCCAGGCCACAACCGTTTGTCGTTCCGTATCTCCTTTTGGAGATACGGGGGCATCTTGCGGAGGTACGAGAGATACAACTCTCGTGGGGTCTTCCCAAGACCCACCGCCTCAAGGTCCGCGATCGATGCCTCAAACAAAGGCTCGAATTGGTGGCCTGTGAGCTTGCCCTTAGCGAGGGACGCATGCTCACCATCCACGCGGACTTCTCTTTCCTCCCGCGATTCCCCGAACATCAAGTGCTTGTTCTTGATGCGGTCGTACACCGCCTGTGGATCGGAGAGAACCTCTCCCGACTTCCACGCTGCGCGGTACGCGTTCGTGTACGTCTTCATGCGCGAGCCGCGGCAGCGCCCGCGTAGCGCTAGCAGCTTCTCGCGCGCACTCATACCGCGACAGTTGTTGGCCAGCGCGCAGACGTCCTCAAACTCCTCGTAGAACAAGACAACGTCTCGCGCGTCCGACTTGTCGTCGGTCAGCGTCGGCCACGTGAGGTCAGTTTTGACCGTAGTTATGGAGCTTTGCCCGCCCCTCTGCGCTAACGCTTCTTTCAGCGCTTCAGTTTGGGCGGCGAGTGCGGCGGCGAAATCGCCCGCCGGGTTTTGGGACCCGGTCTGCGAACCTCCGCCGTCCGAACCTCGCTTCAGGGCTTCTATCTCCATCTCCAGCGCCGCAAGCTTTGCGCGCAAAGGGGAATCGCCGTCCGTCGCGCCCAGGTCACGGGCCGCGGAAGGACCACCTGCAACCTCTGCAGTGTGCAAACCTCCACGGTCCAAGCCTACCCCCAACCCACTTGCAGTCGCAGGCTGTGGGAGCCCTGGGGAACGCGGCCCCACGGCTTCAACTGGCACATCGGACGGGGAACTCCAAACCTTCTCTTGGCTCGAGCTTTCTTTTCCCCCCAACGCGAGGATAAGCTCCCCGATGCATTGGATTTCGCGCTGAATCTCCTCTGCGTCTTCGGGGTCCTCGCCACCGCGCAAAGCCGCGACCGAGAATCTGGTCCGCAGCCGACGGACCATCTTTGTCGGATGCCAGTCCCCGCCTATCTTGGAGAACTCATCCGCAAGGAGGGTGGCTTTGGTGCTTAAGGCGTCAAGGTCACGGGAGCTCACCGTGACTCCATGCGCTTTCAGCGCGAGGACAATCCGCGAAACGCGCGTCAAGTAGTCCGCGACCGGTTCTTGGTCTGGACGGAAAATCGCGCGCAGCTCCGCCTGCAAGCCCTCTGCGGTGCCTGGCACTGAACCTGCTGTCGACGGCGGACCGGACGGTCCCGCCGGGCGGGACCCTGGTGCCGTAGCAGGGACATAGGCAGCACCGGTAGGGACCATGGCCAGCTCCCTAGCCGCGGCGCTGACGTCCACCCGCGGCGGACTGTCGCCTCCAGCGCCCGAGGCCTCAGGGACTAGCTCGGAGTCCTCTTCTTCTTCCTCCTCATCCTCGTCCTCGTCTTCGGCGTCATGGAGGAACTTCATGACTTTCCGCCAGAGAGCCGCCTCTTGCTCTGGCGTAGTGCTGACCCCATCCCGCTTGGACAACGGACGGCTGCCAGTCTCCCTACGCCACTTAAGCCAAGCAAGCGACGTAGCTCATCCGCTCGGGATAGGGAACGTCTCCACCCTCGATAGCTTCGAGGAGGGTGACGCCCTCAGCCTGACCTGCAACCTCTGCGGACATCGCCGCAACACAGGGCGAAAGGCCGCGCCTTGGTTAGCAGGCCGCAGGCGTGGCACGCGAAGCGCCGCGCCTTGGTTAACAAGCCGCAAGCGTGGCACACAGTCCACGCGTCCAGGTCACGGACCGCGACAGACAAGCAAAGCAATGCTTGCCCACTCGGGCCGTAGGCACAAGAGCTGTACGTTCCCAGAACAGCCCCCAATTGTGAAGTCGACCAGCACTGGACTTGCACTAAGCCAATGCAATCACAGCCCGGCCACGCTGTTTTACGACTTCGCGAGTTCAAGCACTTGTGCAGCTACGCCTGAGTGCGTCCGGTCGGACCGCACAGCAACCTAAGAGCTACTGTACGACTCTACCGTGCTCAAAGGCACAAGCTCGGTACTTGAGCCAAAATTGGCATTGTAACGAATTGCAAAACTACACATGCAAAGAAAACTACAGTACTGGTTCTGGCAGCTCTGCACATGCAACGTGCGTGCTTAGACCTGCTCACAATATGTTATATGTGTATATGTTATATGTGTATATGTGTAGAGGTGTATATGTGTATATATGTATATATGTATATATGTGTATATGTATATATGTACATATGTTTCTATGTTCTATGTGTATATGTGTAGAGGTGTATATGTGTATATATGTATATATGATAATATGTATATATGATAATATGTTTATATGATAATATGTATATATGTATATATGTATATATGCATATATGTGTATGTATATACGCATTTTGTGAAGTCGACCAATCTGGTCTTGCCTTAAGCCAAAGCAAACACAGGCGGTCACGCTGTTTTGTGACTTCGCGGGTTCACGCTCTTTGTGCAAACTACGCCTGAGTGCGTCCGGTCGGACCGCACAGCAACCTAAGAGCTACTGTACGAAACTACCGTGCTCAAAGGCGCAAGTCTAGCTCGGTACTTGAGCCAAAATTGGTATTCAACCGAATTGCAAAACTGAAACATGCAAGTGAAGATTACAGCACTGGCACTGGCAGCTGTGCACATGAAGCATGAGTGCATTGACCTGCTCACATTCGCCCCTCAGCCGAGGCTCCCAGCTCATTACAATCTGAGCTCGTAGTGCATAAAGCACTTTGCACATCGCAGGCGGGGAAAGGCGAGGGTGTCGCGTGCGACCATGGTGGTCCGCGCATCATGAGCGTTGGTATACGGCAGGGACGCTAGCCCGCACCACCAAACGAACGCACAGCGACAGCACCCCTCGGCAGCCCTTAGCAACCCCGAGTCACTCTGGCCCCACCTCTTTTGCTGGTAGGCGAGGCTCCACTGAAAGAGCAGGTTTCTAGGCTCTCAGTGCTGGAGCTATGATACACTGTACAAACTGCAAGAAAACTACTGCTACGGCTACGGCTACTCCCTTATCAAAACTACACGCTACGGTAGCTCCCGACTCAGGGAGAGCCGCGCACTAGCAAGTGCCGCAGCTTGGCAACTCACACGCGCTTCGGCGAGCGCCAAGCCGCGACCAGGACACGGTCCGCGAGCTGGATGCAAAAGAGCTCCCTCTGGAAGAGAGGCCACAGGCAATGCTGCGCGGCCAAATGTGTGGCGGTGGGCAACGCAGAATGAGCGGGACTCCATCCTGCTGCGGCGTTGCGCCCGCGAGAAAGCAAAAGGAGAATATGAAGCGACGTGCCGCGCCGCATCACGCGCTATGATACGAGTGCAGCGAAATGCCGAATCACCCCACAGGGAAGTGGCGTGGACAAGAAACCACGCCGCGCCACCTGGCCGCAGCCTACTCGATTCCCTGGGGAACTTGCTGGGGAGCAGGGCCTGCGTTGCCAACGTTGTTGGAGCTACTGGCTCGCTCCAACTGTGGGCGCTTAGCGGCCGCCTCGTTGAGATCCAGTGACCCTGAGGACACGCGCTCAACGAAAGCTTGCGTGGCTGGGTGCGCTTTCGCAGTCTCGAGCTTGATGCCTGTCTCGCAGTTTGCCTTACTGCTAATCGTGAAATTGAGACTGCTGACAAGGAGCACCGCGCCGTCAGGCCGCAGTAAGCATAAGGCCTTCGCGTGGTGGAGGCCTTGAATCCCCTGTCCCACACGGGCCCCGCGCTTATCATGGGCATACGCGTCGCGGACTGAGGTGATCACACAGTTCTTGCGCACTTACCTGCCTTTAGGCAATGGCTTCTGACGAGGGAAGGCCAGAAAGATGCAGGCGAGTTTCTCGGCACTGTTTTGGCTGTCAGATAAAAGCGTCGAGTGCACGCCTGAGGGGAACATCCTTCATCGCAAAGCCTTGCCCCTACTTTTGCCAGCGACTTGGGGAAAAAGCATTACTCTGAGCGATTCCAGTCTTCAATGGCATGAGGGAAATGGAGAAGACACCCGAGACCCTGAGTCAAGTAAACCAAGTCCTTAAGCAGATGGTTCGGGTCTTGACGCTCCACGAGGACTTCTTAAACGTGGTGTTGCAAGAGAGGGAGTTGATGATGTTCATTACTCACTCCCAAGGTGGCATATTGCCACTCCTTCTGAAGACCTCGGAGAACTGGCACAAGAAAGAGGAGGAGCTCAGCAAGCGACTTCCCCTCCGAGTTGCCATGCTCACCACCATCCTTACGGAGCTCGACAAGAGGCTGCGCAACTCATGGCCGTTAAACCGGAGGTTCCTTTGATGGGATGCGGAAGCGTCGGCAACTGATACCATCGCAGGCCAAACCGGTGTCCACCAACCAGATCCTACTACTGATCAAGGAGCTGCTAAACCTGATTCTCAACGTGCAGGAGGACGTGGTGCTGAGATTCGCGGCCAAGCGCAACATCGCCAAGATGCCGCAGCCTACTCTACTGGACAAACCGGTCGTGCCATGGCAGCTGACCTTGGGCTGCCGCAGCGCAGATGGGCGGAGGGCCACGGAGATTTTCCGTTACCTGGCGCGCTCGGCAGTGTGGCAGCTGATCATGGGAAGACTCAGGCCGGCGAACCAGCAACGACAGCCCCCGCTACAGGATGTTCAAAAACTGGTGGGCATGGGACCGACGGACAGATCGCACAAGGAGGCCGGCACCTCCTCGCTCCAGGCCATCCCGAGCTTGGGAGAACCGAGCATGAAGGCGATGCTGGGGGCTTGAGGACGATGGGTCTCCACTCGCCAAGCTCAGTGGGAAAACCTGCCAGGTTTGAGGACTCCTCGCCGGCAGGGAAGGGTTCAACATTGACGAAGTCAATGATGGGGTTTCAGAGCAGTTGGGGAAGCTACACCTCCATCGACGGAGGTTTTTCAACGACGGAGCCCAACGCGACCTCCAAGCGATTTGCAAACCAGCACCACCGGTGCTGACCCTGCAGGCCGCCAGAGCCCTTGGACACGAGCCGCAACGCTTCCGCCTTATCTGTGATGACCCCATCGTGATGATCCCCACCTTTGAGTGTGTTGCAGATGACCCCCAGGTCGGTGCTGGCACTTGAGAAATACACCATCGGGTGTGCGACGCAGGTACTTCTTGAAGAACGGTTCTGCAGCAGGGCCCCGTAGACAACAAAGCACAAAAGATTTACTGGCGTTGACCTCCAAGCCGTGCTCGGTGAGCAGGCCGAGGAAGAACGCAATGTCTTTGAGCGCCTTCTCCGCTTCACGGATCGTTCTGACCTCCCAGGCCCCATGGGTGTCGTCTGCGTAGATGGTGAGAATTCGCTGTATGGTTTTCCATCCCAGCGTCTGACTGGCCTTTTTCAGAAGAAATCTGAAGAAGACGTTCCAGAGAAAGGGGGCCTCTCTGGAGCCCTGTTTGATGCCTCTATTGCAGGAGAAGGTCGCCGCTTGGTCGTGACTCGTGACCGTGAAATTGTTGTTTTCTAGCCAAAACACCAGTGCATGTTCAATCTCCTGTGAAAATTCGCAGTCGAGAATGGCTTCTCGCAGGTGGCTTCTGCTGACCTTGTCGAAGGCTTTGGAGAGATCAACGCAGAGCTGAATCCCCCCCGCAATGCGATTGCGCTGGTTCCAGGTGCGGTGCTTCGTTGTCAGAGCTTGCGCGAGCCGGTAGGCCCTGTCGCAGTGCGCAAAAGCTCTGCTCAGGCAGTCTGAGCACGGTCTGCCTTCCAGGGAGGCAAACAGCGGGTATTCGTCGAAGAGGTGCGGCCTGTCTTGGGTCGCCAGCGTGGCAATGGCGCCCGACACTATTTTGCACACTGGGTGTTGCAGTGCAATGGGTCTTAGGGCAGCAGGGCAACGGGGGGCTTTATTAGGTTTGGGAAGTAGGTGTAAGTGCGAAGTGATCCAGTCTTGATGTCGCGCACCTAGCATGTGGTCTTGTTCCCATACCTGATGCAGTTCCGAGAGGAGGACGGGCACCAGGTGGCCACCCGCAGCTTTCCACATCGAGGCCGGCGGGGCCTGCGGGTGAAGTGCTTTGGCAGTAGGCAGTCTGGTGATTTCTGTCATCAAAGTTGGGGCATCAATACACAGCGTGCCGGGGCCCGGGGGTGTATGCTCATAGTGGGGATCCGTGTACAGATCACTGAAATATTGTTTCAGCGTGTGTACAGATTCTTCCGGTGTGAGCAGGTGACCATCCTTGGATCTGAGGGTAATGGTACTCTGCTTTGACTTGGGACAGAGCCTGTTGATTGCTTTGTACCACGTGCTGGTGTCCCTGGTCAGGGCCGCATCATGAGCATTTGCAAGAAAGAGATCAACGTTGTCACGTCGCGCTTGTTTAGCCAACATTTTGGACCTTTTGCTCATTTGATGAAATTTCACGTAATGCCACCAGGCTTTGAAAATGTTTAGGCGATATGGCTTTCTATGCGTGCGATAAGCCGCATAGTGCTGCCAAAGCTTGTGAATGTGAGTACTCCAATTTTCGTTTTTGCAGGTAGGCACAAGAATCGGCACGGGAGGCGGTTTGAGCTGCTCAAGGATGTTGCACGCGTTTCTGTAGAGCTGTTTTTCAAACTGCTGCATGTCGGTGCAGCATTCTAGCTGCACGCATGCTTCTTGCTGCCAGTAGTTCTTATCCTTTCCGGAGAGTGCTTGGGATAAGATGGTACGATCTCTGACAGTGAATCCTTGAAAACCAGCAGTGTGCTGCCTCTTGACCGCAGCAACTTTGAGGCTAGTAGACATCGGAATGTGACGCGAGCCCAGCCTGGTGCTGAGCAGGGGAAATTCCAGGTGGTAGTGACAGTCCTTGCTGTAGCCGTCCACATCATGACGCGGCACAAGCACAAAATCTACGCGCGACTGTCTGAGCTCCCCTCGGGTCTTGGATCGAAAAGTGGGCCGCCAGCGGCCTAGTGCATTGACGGCAAGCAGGTTATGTTTGACCATCAGGTGCCGGAGCCGATCCGCATCAGGCTGCCTAGGCTCTCTGGCGCTGTGTCCCGCCGGTGGACTATATTGAGGATCTCCTGTGACGAGGTCGGTGTTGAGATCACCCAAAACCACCTTACTATTCCTATCTCCTAGAGAGGAGAGAGTCTCACCCAGCACTGTCCACACATTGGATCTCCACCCAAGACAGTCTTGGGCTTTGGCCGGGTTCCAGGCGTGCTGATAGACTGCAAGGACGTGATGCTTGCGGTTGGCAAACGCCAACTGGACGTGTACCAAGCGACCTGGCAGGATTTCACGGAAGGTGACGGCAGCTTGCTTGAGTATGTTCAGGCGTACACACAGTAGTATGCCCGCATACGATGCAGGACTGCCGAAGTGAACATACCCTTGTCCCATCCACTGTCCCGTGCAGTTGCGTCGGGTTTCGGTCAGGGCAAGGATGTCAAGACACTTATCCGTTTCTAATTGATCCTCTAGCCAGGTATTGAACTCCGTCTGAGGGAGTCCTCCGGCATTCCACGTCCAGTGTGTGAGTCGACTGCGCATAGGATTACGTGTGCGTGCGGGTCCACTAGGTGGGGTTTGGGACTTATCTTGCGACGGCTTCGGGGTGGAGTGGGGCTTATGTTCCCGTGGGGGTGAATGCCCCGTACTGGGGACCGCGGTACGAAGGATCTCTTAACAACCCGAGATATCAGAGGGGTGGGGTTGCTTGGGCTTGGGTGCATCGGGCCGAGGCCCCCATTGGCGGCCGTGTCTCCGATTGGCTTCGCACTGGATGGGCCAGTGTGTGGTGAAGATCTTATTGCTTCAGTGGCGATACCGGGACTCGCCACAACCCTCGTCTTTGGCGGTGTAGCCGAGGTCGAGTGGAACGCTCCAGCTGCGTCTGCATGTGACAGTGAGTGCTGAGCGATACACAAAAACAACAAGGCTCTGGTGTACCACCCCGGGGAATTGGGACGCCGGCTGGTTCTTGATCGTCTGAGCATGCTTGAGTGAGTTTGAGTCAGGATCTGCTGTGCATGTGCGTGCGTGCGGGGAGGTATAGGGACCGCATCAGGATTGCTTAACACGTGCTTTCTTCTGACGCTTGAAATTTTATGCAAGGACTTGCTGCTGCGCCTGCGGGCCTCGACCAGAAGTGGTAGGCCTTGTACTCGCGGGAGGCGCTTGGTCGCCCAACCTTTGGAACGCGCAAGGAGACCCCAGCAAGCAGTCGACTGAATGTAGCGGGGCACATGAAACTCTCCCGATCTGGTTGCCTTTGCACGTCTCCAAAGGTCCCAGCGTAGGATTATTCATCCATGGGATCCTGCGGCAGCACAGAGAGGAGAGAGCCGCTTTAGACAAGCGGGATAATGGACCGGTGCTATGACTGCAACGGGAAAGTGGCATCGCTACTCTTGGTCTTTCTTTTGCGCTCGAGGGCTCGCGCGGCCTTTGCTCTGCCGCTGGGTCAAACGCCATGATTGGCGTGCCCGGCAGAAGGTGCGCCATTCTGGCGGTGCGCATGTGCAGCGCCACCAAGAAGCATTGATCAGGGTCTATGACGAGCTGATCTGTGCGAGCCCCGTCAAAATCGGACTACCACCTCAAAGAAGTCTACTACCTCTCCCAGGTGGGTAGACGGGTGGCGGGGTGTGCCTGCCGCTTGGAGTAAGTTTCCTTTCGACGTGTTGAGTTGATGGGACGATTTGAGTGCTTGTATGTGTTGACCAGAGTGCGCGGCAGCTAACGGTAGCCGTTGCGGGGGGGGTTTGCTTTGAGGTAGAACGGTCTCCTGGTTTACCAGGATCCTACCTCGGGCGCCCTCCAAAAAGGGAGCTGTGGCCTAGCAAGCCGCAGTTCCCTCACTCCTTTTGCTCAAGACCGCTATACGAACGATCGACCTTGTCGAAGATCCTGTTTACAGCCACACGTGAAGCCGAGACAACGGCTGAGCGCCAAACAGCGTCTTCGCAACCACACACAACAACTCTATTGGGGGGCACTCAATGTGCGTACTATGAACTGCAAGGTGTCTAACCGGGGGGGGGATTTGGAGTTTGAAGGGGCAAGTCCAACAAAACCTTTTGATGTTTGTAGTGTGTTTCGGAAGCATCGGCTAGTGTTGGGGGCATTGTCGGAAACTCGATGGAAAGGATGTGGTACATTGCGAGCGGACGAGTTTCTGTTTCTCTTTTCGGGGCTACCAGAAGAAGCGCCTGTGTCCTTGTATGGCGTTTCCTTCGTACTTGGGCCCAGTATGCAGGCTGCTTGGAGGGCGGCGGGTAGTCATGTTGTTTATCATAGTGAGAGACTCATGAAGATTAAACTACTCATTAAAGGCCGAGTGTTTCATGTGATATCTGTGTACGCACCAACATTCCGTGCCAAAGATGAAGAGAAGGAGAAGTTCTATGCAGACCTACATGCCCTGTGTGCTGAATGTAAGGCTGGGGAAGAATTGATTGTCATGGGAGATTTCAATGCTCGAGTCGGTGTCAGAAATACTGCAACTGGTGACACAGAGGTCGAGGGACAGGACGGGGATGATCGCAGTCTCGGGGACTTTGGACTCCCGGAGCTCAGTGACAACGGACGTCTATTGTTGGATTTCTGTCGCTCCTATGGTGCGAAGTCCCTACGAGTGATGAGCACTAAGTACAAGCACAAACAATATGGAACCTGGCAACATAACCGCACCAAACAATGGCACCAAATAGACCATGTGTTGTCCAAGGCTCGCACGGCTCTCTTGTTTCGGGGTGTTAGACGCATGCCAGGCTTAGATTTTGACAGTGATCATCGCCTTGTCAGAGTGTCTCTCCATGTCATGCGTGTGGGTAAACAACCACAGGGCAAGAACCATGGGGTTCAACGTGACACGCGACAGAGAATGCCGCGGTTACGGGTGGATAAACTCCAAAAGCCTGAAGTCGTTGAGAGTATTAACGATGCCTTTGGGGAGCTTGTGGAGGACGCGCAGGCACAGGATTATGCTGCCTGGGCACGCGGGTTGCGTATTATATGCGAACAAGTGCTAGGAGAGGTAGACACAGTGTGGCGGCCAGAATGGCAGCAAGCTCACTCTGCTGAGTTGGAGCAGCTTGCTGCTGTGAAACACGCAGCTTTTCTACGCAAGGGGGAGGGGCCGGAGCGATTGGCTGAATATAAGCGTATATGTAAGGCCAACAAGCGACGTGTTAAACAACTGCTGAACAAGTGGTGGGCTGATACGGCGGATCACATACAAGAGGCAGTAGATAGAAAAGAGCCGAACCATCAATATAAAGGCTATCAACAGCTACGACGAGTGTTTGACACGGGGAGAAGGGCGCCATGTCGTATTAAGGACCGGACAGGTCAAGCTCTGAATACACGGCCTGAGCGGGTGCAGCGATGGAGGGAACACTTTTCAGAGCTGTTAAATGTACCTACTACTGTTGAAGCAGAACGATTAGACACCCCTCAACCGGTTGCTACTAATGAGTCACTTGCAGCGGTGTCTTCCTTTGCTGAAGTCATGGTGGCTACGAAGTCCCTCAACTCGGGAAAAGCAGCAGGACCTGACGGCATCCCAGCTGAAGTCCTTAAGGTACTACGGCCTGAACATCTTCGCAGTCTGCGCGAGATCATCTGCAGGGTTTGGACAGGGTTGGAACCTATGCCTCAGGAGTGGAAAGATGCATACTTGGTCCCCATCCCTAAAAAAGGAGATAGAACAAAATGTGGCAAATGGAGGGGGATCCTGCTTACATCAGTACCGGGGAAGATCTTTGCTAAGATCCTTAATGGACGATTGGTGGGACATTTCGAAAACAATGGAGTCCTCCCTGAAAGTCAATGTGGATTTAGGTCTGGGCGTGGAACCGCAGACATGATTTATACCCTCAGAATGGCAATTGAGCTAGGACATGTTAAAAAGATCCCGTTATATGCCCTATTTGTGGACCTGATGAAGGCATACGATTCCGTATCACGACAGGGACTCTGGGAGATTCTAGACACGAAAGGGGTCCCTGCGCATGTTGTCACACTTATTCAGCAATAATTCTACGATGGTAAATCGGCATGTGTTTCTACGGAGGGCACACTGTCGGACTCTTTCGATCTCAACACAGGTTTGGGGCAGGGGTGTTGTCTGGCTCCCTTGCTCTTCAACGTATTTCTAGCAGCAGTCATGGAGGATTGGCAACAACGTGGACCGGACTCACTCTCCCTCAGATATCGTATTGATGATATTTTGCGACGCCACATGGATGAGGGGTCGCTGGATAAGTATAAAAGCTTTGAGGAATTGAAACTACACGAGTTGGGCTATGCAGATGATACAGCGTTTATCACTGACACGTATGCTAAACTCGTAGATTTGGTCACGTCCCTACAGCTCCATTACACAGCATGGGGGCTCACCATGTCAGTTGAAAAGACAGAAGCCATGGTGACATCAGGCCTGATCCCTGTCCAGTCAAGGTGAAACCGGTGGAAGGTTTCGATACTGTTAAGTTCAGCTCCGAGTTTTGCTATCTTGCATCAACAGCGTCCAAAGAACAGGGCTGCGAAAAAGATATCATTATACGTATTGACAAAGCTCGCAAGGCGTTTTGGCGACTTGCGGCCAGTGTTTGGGATGTCAAACAAATAGATGTCGCCATAAAAGTGCATGTGTACCGAGCGTGTGTGCTGTCTGTCTTGTTATATGGTGCCGAATCGTGGACAACGACCTTTAGATGCAGACGGAGATTAGAAAAGTTTCACATGACCTGTCTACGCAAAATAAGCGGAGTCACAAGATGGGAGCAGGAGGAGTATCATATCACGAACGCACATCTCCGTACCTGGCTCTGGGTGTGCCCACAGCCACACAGTTAGTTTCGCAGGCCAGACTCCGATGGCTAGGACACCTAGCTCGCATGGATAACGGTAGGCTTCCCAAGCAAATGTTGTTTGCCTTTTTCCCAGGAAATGTAGGGACGCCTACGCAACCGGGACGGCGCACTGGAAAATATCTCGCTTTTGATATTGTTAACGATTTGGAAAAGGCAGGAGTCAAGGTTTGCGGGTGGATGACAAAAGCGCGACGTAACGAAGGCGCGGAATGGAGACAAGTTGTTTTCCGTGCTGCTCCATGGTTCCGCCCAAAGCAACCGAAATTCGGACATCCACCGCCTGCCCGAGATATCGAGGGTTGCCGACCTAACAAGGCTCGAAGTAAAAAGCAGGCGTTTCAAACATCGGTGGTGGCTGCGCAAACAGCGTTTTCACAGTTTGAAGGAGAGTCGGGTTTCTTGCGATGTGAAGCTAGACTAGGTGGCAGGGAAAACCTGATCTGTGCTCTCCGAGAGGCGCTGAAGTCTGAATTGGGTGAAGCCTGGAACCGACTGCCTGCGCAGGAGGCCGCCGAGGCTGTGATTCACTTGCCAGACTGGGACGACTGCCTTAACTTATCCGTGGATCTAGGACTCCTTGTTATGAGTATAGATGCAGCAATGAAAGATCAGGGCGAGTGGCCGGCGCAACCACCGTGCGTAGGTCTGACACACAAGAAACCGGGCGTGACACGACATCGGTTATACTTTAAGCAGGCAAGACCCGCCTGCTATCTTCCCTCTCAGGAAGTCCCAACACACGGATTTTCGAGCGGAGTGAAAGTCACACTTAATCGGGGGGTTAGACGTTTACGCCAACATGAACATGGTGACTTTGTTTGTAGTATATGTGGGCGAAAATACCCAACGAAGAGGGGCCTGGCGGGACATGTTGAACTCACGCATACCGAAGGCACTTTCAGGGAGGCTGGGTTTCAGTGTGAGCTATGTCCCAGAATCTTTGACAGACTGAGTGCCCGCACGCTACACTATACCAGAGATCATGTGCTTGGATCTAGAGCGCTCTCGTGTCCATATTGCAAAGCTGTGTTTCCTGGACATCCAATGATGCGTTTACATATTGCAGAGAGTCATCAGAACGAAACAGGTTTCCCCATGCCGTGTCCTCTTTGTGTCAATGCTGGCGCCGAAAACCCCCCCAATATGGTCAGTGCAATAGCCTTTAAAAGACACCGCGCAGCCACGCATTTACGCGATGTTCCGATCGCCGTTTTTGAGTCGTAGCCGTAGCTGCTTGCCTCTTGTTTGCGTTGGGGGTGGTCTCTGCGGGTTTCTATGGCGCCGGGTGAGCGACGTGACAGGGATCGTGATAGGGGCCGGGATCGCGACCGTGAACGTGATGATCGTGCAACAGCGCCCACAGACCTGACGGCGCTCCAGAATGACCTTGCAAAGACCAACCAACGTTTGGAGAAGGTTGCCAAGCTTTCCGTCTACACTGCTCGTGATGTCGGTGAAATGAAGAGCCACCTCCAGATAGTCTTGTTCGTGGCCGGGGTGCTCAGGGACTACGTCGATGCTCGTGATAAGATCCAGTCTGGCGTAGTGGAGAAGGGTCCGCCGTTAAAGTGCAGGATTTATGACGCCGTGACTCAGTATCTTGTAGAGCCAGCCCGGCAAATCTCCCAAGAATGCGGCGCCAAGACAGAGGAACTCTGCGGGTTTAAAGCCCAGTTTGATGTGGTTGCTGTGTCGAATTGTCAGAAACCGCCCGAAGACACTGGGCGACCTTGGGTGCTAGTTGTTACTTTTGCTGGCTCTGATCGGGGGCGTACCATGCGTGCATTATGGGGGAATCAGGCCCTTCAGCCCTTATTTCGTAAGCGTGACGGCGCTTGGCCAGACGTCGGTGCCAAGGCTGGAACGTACTGTATGGGGCAAATGACACAGGAGGTGGCATCAGAGGCAGGGATGGACTATGGGAAAGGGTGTGGTAAGGGAAAGGGGGTCAGAAGGCGTTCTGAGAGCCCGTCCAATGCCAGGTCTGCTCGGCTGCGTCAGGTCTTGTCCGGGGCCAGGGCAGCGGTCTCGTCCGCTTGCCATTTTTTGAAAGGCACAGGTCTTGTCCTGTGGCCAAGAAGCTTAGACGCCTTGCATCGAGCCAAAAGATTTGGGGTTTTTCATTGGGATTGGGTTTCGTCGTTGGGCTTCTCGTGGGTGGGCTGTCGGGGGATCCTCTCTTTCCGTTCTGACGGAGCGCTTCTTAATGCCAGGTCTTTCGGATGAGGTCTTGGATTTTGGTTTGGCTTGTTCTTCTCTTCCTCTTTTGGTCAGGCTGTTTTGTGTTTGCGTTGGCTGATCTCGGCTGCGGTAGTTCCTTGCGGACATTTATCGGACAAAGTATGCGACTTCTCTTCCTGTTCGACCAGCTCCTTGCCCCAACGCTTCCATTTGACAAACATATTAAGCCTATGCCGAACTACGACCAAGGGGCCGTCAATCAAAACCCGTGCAATGACAGTCAGGGCCTGGTCTGGCAATGCAGAAAACATGTCAAAAGGATGCATCAGAGACAAAGAGAGAGTAGCAAACTGCCATGGGTTGCGACACACACCGCAAGTGACCGAGGCTGCTCTTCCCTCACCGAAATCTGTAAGCTGGTCAGTGACGTTCCTGTCGGGCCTAGGGCGCTTCGGGAAAACTACCCCCCCCTCAAAGTTAATCCCAAGCACCTTGGAACCGGCGGGGACCGGGCCTAAACCACAACAAAGGCAATTCTTATCATCAAGAGATGGGACCTGGCCAGACGGCAGAGGCACCGTAACCTGGTACTGGTACTCATCCACAAGAACGATGGCCCTGGAAGTGCGCGGTTGCCGATGGGCAGCGGCGCGGGCGGACTCGTTGGAGATGCATGGGCTGGCCGGCATGGTGTGCGAGGCGCCCAACGCCAGAGCTGCAGCAGCAGCATACCTGGAACAACAGGCTTCAGGGTACTCGGCCTCTGCCGTGGGGGATTGCCGGTGGGTATGGCTGTTGTCGCACTGGCGGGCCAAGGTGCCTAGCTCCCGCATTGAAGTCCACAATACCTGGCGTTTGGCCTGGTCACCACCATGCATGCAAGAGTCATAAGAAACCTCGAAACACTTCGAGCGCAAGGCGACGAAATCGGGCAGCAACCACATGTAGGAGCTGGCGGGATTCTCAACACAAAAATGCGTCATGAACTCAGGATTCTGGGAGCGCTGCTCGCAAAGCCACATGCAAAAAGCAGACGTGCGTCTGTAGACGGCGTTGGCCGAATCGACTTTGGACTGCCAAGCAGGAGGTAACCCGGGAAGCCCGTCGGGAGAAGCTTCGCTTCGCAAGCACTGGGATGCGTGGCGGCCCTGCCACGGAACCTCACGCGGAGCAACGTGCACAAGAAGGACCTGCCTGGCCTGGACGAGCCGCGTCAGGTACGTCCAGGAAGAGTCCAGCCGCAGATCTAGATGCACACAATGAACCAAAGGCCGATGGCGATTGCTGGCACGATCGATGGCTAGCACCTGGAATCCTAGTGATCGGAAAGCGAAAGACAGCCCCGCCGATCCACAACACAACTCAACGAACATCAACCTTTGCGGCCGCACGGCAGGCAAGGCCTCAGGACATGAAGGAAATGAAGGCACAGCGGGCTCACCCCGGGACCTAGAGGAACTAAACCCAAGGGGCCCAAGGTCGGGGAAACCCTTGGCGAAGGCTGGCACAGCGCGAATGGGCGGCTCAGCATCTGGGAGGTTGAAGCCAAGCTCACGCAAAGTCCTCGCAGACTGCTTATCAAGGTGCGTCACATTTTGAAGGCAGAAAGCAATCAGCACCAACCTGCGACCCTGTGAAGGCATGACCGCATGCTTCAAACCTGGGGCATCGATGGCAATGGGGCCTTGCTCGAGGCTACATAAGCGAGCACGGAAAGATTGATCGCTGTGAGTGATGACCTGTCCATGCGGGCTTGCGATAGCCAACTGGCCCCCTGAAAACCGAGTCATGGGTATGACGAGTGCGGGCAGGCATGCGTTTTGGGCATCGTCACGAATGCCCATCTCAGAGCCATCCAACACAACGATGCTGCTGAATACGTGCCGTGGTGATACAGCGCGCACCAACCTCGTGAAAGCTCTGACGGCATTAGGGTACTGCGCCACGGAAGGGTACAGCCCCGTCAAACCACCATGCCAGCACATGCCTGAATAGAAGGACTGGCGTACTTGGTCGCGGACAGAATGGGGACTGGTTGAAACTGCAATGACAGGAAGGGAATCAAATGCGCAGACTGCGTTATCAACAATACCAGGACTCAAAGAATGACTGGCATCAAACGTCGCTGTCTCAAACAAAGATGCATGAGGCATCGAAAAAGGGTTCGGTTGCCTAGGAGCATCCGAACCATCATGAAACTGGGGCTGCGGGCATCCGAGCCGACACTCACACTTTGAAGGCGGGGTCGCAATGGTTGCTTTTCAGCATCCAATGCACGCGGTCCCTGGTCCTCCCCCCGCGAGGACACACGGTCAGCACACACCTCATGGCCTAGTCACTCTGACGGGGCCTTGTTACGCTTGGGACAAGTGGAAGCTCCATGACCGTGCTGCCCGCACTTCGGGATTGCGCAAGCATGCAAGCCGCGAACACATGCATTGTTCTTAACCTCATTGGACAGGATCTTAGCTGGAACCCGTAGCAGTAAGGGTTGCCTTTTTTGGTTGACGCAGTGCACCCCCATGCAACCAACTGTGCTGGCATCCCTGGCGATTTGAACTTGCCCTTACCTTTTCCGGCGCCTTTGGGTTGTCGAGGCCCGCGCGGGCCCGGCCTTCTGGCTTCTCTGCATCCTTGCCCTCATCAGACGCCCGTGAAGACCCCGACGGTAGGGGCTGCATCAAGCACACAACGTCGAAGCTCGTCATGACACTGGGAACATGAGTGTCTAAGGGCCGGGCACCAGCATTTGCCTGAACCCCATCACGGGTCAGGTCCCTGAGCTCGCTGAAAAGCTTTTTGTCAGCAGCGACAAGCTGGGCCCAGGTCGGCTTGGCGTAGCCCGCGGGGGCATCCTGCATGCGGGCTCTGATGAGCCTGTCGCTCCACTGCTGCATCACGGAATACTCCACCAGATTGGCTTGGTCCATGGCAAGAGATCGACGCTGCAAAGCCTGCGTGATGTGAACTTCCGAAGTAGTGACAGCCTTTTGCTCTGCATCCTTGTTCTCCACCTTCAACCGCCCGGAATGCTCGTCTACAGTGAAGCGGGTGTCTTTACGCCTGTCGGAGCCTACTTCCTGTTCCCGCGAAGTGCATGCTTCCCAGGGCAGATACCTCAGCTCATTGCTTTCGTAGCACGCCACAGCCTTGTCCACCAGCGCTTCGCTGGGCTCGGTCTCGTTTTTGATCGAAACTCCAACAAGCTTCTTTTTCTGCTTTTCGAACCGCTCAGCCCGCTCGGGCTGAGTCAGTCGTCGGCTCGTCGGTTCGTCCGACTTTTCAATCTTCTGACGGAGTTCCGACGTGACAACTGCATAGGACTCATGGTAAAGGGCTCGGAAACTGGCCTGGACACCCAACTCCGCATCTCTTCCAAGCATAGTCTTAAGTGCGGCCATCAGCGGCGTCTCATCAGCCTGCCCTGGTGTAAAGCTCGAAATGAAGGCCAGCTGCCTAAGCGAACTCACGGATGCCTTGATTTTGTCGGCATCAGCTGTCGGGATCCCACTCGCATCCACCCTAGCGTTGAAAACGCTCTGGCTGTCGGAGTACGAAGTCGCCATCCTAAGCACGTCACTCGAAAATCCAAGCCGAAAACTACGCGGACCACACAACGTACAGTCAGCTGCGACGACACTTCAAGTTTCATGGGAATACGAATTGGCACTCACCCCTTTCTGGGAGCACTGACAGCACGATCATCGTCCGTTGCGTACGTTCGCTCAATGTTCAACACCAGGGCTCCAAAATTTCATGTGCACTTCGCGACTTCAAGTTGAACGTTCTTTTGTTTACGCATCCATGAACACGTTTGGCCTGGCATCGACATGGCGCCCCAGGACTGGGACCTGGCATCGTCTAATTAGGACGCCCCAGGCCGCTCTCGCTTCATAGGCTCGGCCTGGCATCGTCTAAAACGCCCCAGACCTTCTCGCTTCTCAGCCCTTCGGGCAACACCGCCCACAGACGGGAAACAGGACCTGCGGCACAGCGTCGCACCTGACGTAAGACTTTGTGATTGCTCGACCGCATCGGAATTGCGAACCCTTCTCCGAGGAAACCACGTGGATGTAGCGGCTGGTGTTGCGTCGAAAGACTTCGGCATCGGCCATCGCCTCACGCAAGCCTGCTGCGGGCTGCCACGGCCCAACAATTTCATCAGCTGCATGTTCTTCCTCCTCCACATCTGGGTGCTCCTCGTCCTCGCTGCCCTCGGAAGACGCAGAAATTTCATCATCATCCCCGACAAGTGGGGGGTCGCCATGAACATTCCAGACCTCGTAGCATCTGGCCGGAATTTATCCAAAGCAATGGATTCCAAGATGGCATCAAATTCTCTGAGAGCCGGTGCCACGTTGTCTCTACCGTACACCACATCGCAATTTGATCTTGCAGAAGAGTGATATCCCAGGATCACGCGGAGCTCCTTACTGGTGCCCCACTTCGCAGCCCAGCTGAGGCCCGTAGCCTTGAGAGAATGAGTTCCAAGGGCCCTTACCGACGCAACGTCCTCGCCCGACTTATAGAGCAGACTTCGCAACCACCTGGCACCCATTCCCACGCTCATTGGCGATGTGGTCCATCCACCGTCATCCACCGTCATCCATAGGCGTCGGCAACAAAGGTTTGTCCTCGCCAAAGCCTGGTCCATAAACCTCTGCAATGTCCATCCACGCCAGGCCCCATGAATCGTCGAGGAGACCCTGTATGGTTGCGCACATCGCAAGGTAACGGGTCTTTCTTTCCAATGTATATGCCGTCTTGGTGCGACTAACCGAAGCCTCCAGAAAACCTTTATAGCCCCCGTCCGGAAGTTCAACAACGTCTTTGGTGAGGAGACCGCTGTTCTGCATATCGGAGAAGCGTGCTCGGGCGTAGATTGCGTAAACGAAACACCCAGCAGCATACCTGTCAGCGCCACCGAAGTCCCCTTGACCCAGGACTATGCGCTCCAATGCCTTGACATGGGAGACCTTCAATGGCGGCTTCTGGACTTGCTTGCGCTTTTTCAAATACAAACTATTGCATGCTCCCGTCAATCGAGTCGAAAAGACATCCTCGAACTTGCACTTAAGGACATGTCGGCAAAAGGCAACGGAGCTGAGGAAGCTGCGAGCAAACGTGGGCGCCTGCTTTGCGCAATAATCTTTCACAAAGCGGTGTAGGAAATCCTCTTGCAACGGGAAAGGTGGGTGCCCCGCTTTTTTGCAGAATTGTACGTACCTCATAATCGGCCCAGCCCGTCCATGTTGTGAACTGAGAATGCAACTGCAATACGTGAACTGCAAACGTGAATGCAATACGTGAACTGAGAACACAATGCAATACGTGAACTGAGAACACAATGCAATACGTGAACTGAGAACGCGACTGCAATACGTGTGAACTGAGAAAATGACTGCAAAAAGTGGACTGAGAGCACGACTACAATACTTGAAGTGTGAACGCGAATGCAATACGTCTGGCCTTCAATGCGAAAATGTCCAACAGTACAGAAGAAAGCTCACGACCCTGTCCCTCGGCAATGTCTTTGGTAACACGTTCCATGACACCAAAGTGCTCGCCATACGACGACACGATGCCGCACCACTTAGCGACAGCTGCAGACCTGCTTTCTGACTGCTTTTCCTGCCACGGCACACCCTTAGACTGAGCAAAAGGTACGCTCGGCAAAGAAGGCTGAGATGAGGGAATTACTGCAACATCTGGCACACCTGAAGCGGCTGGAGCCCCGATCCCCCAACGTTGATGCACCGGCAGCCCCGGCAGAATACTAGGTGGATTGAGGATTTGAGACCTCTCCCACGGCTGTGCATATTTACTTTTAGCACCCCTGAGGAGATACTCCAGATGCTGCTCATAAGCATCCTCAAGCTGGCGCTTCATGGCCCTATCAACCCCCACTCAACCGAAACCGGGCAAGAAGCCGGCCACAAAAGGCCCACAGTCTGAAGCTGCTCTTTGGGAGTCAGCTTGTGGTGGAGAAGTGGAAAGAATTTTTCAGACCCTGTGCGACTACACTTCGCCTTCCCAAACTTGAGAGGACGGCGGGAGATGCGCTCAGTTCACTTCCAGTGTCTGACAAGCATGCTGAAAAACTCCAAAATACTCACAATCAGAATGTTTACATCTCCATGAGCATCAAGATCACGCACACACAGACCTTTCGAAAAGCGAGCTTCGAACGAAGCATTGCACGCCTATAAAGCTTTAGGAGACGAGTCTCCAAAACAGCATATATGTACACATGTACATACCTGGATCTTCTAAACCATGTTTTTTTCCAGTCCAATTTCTAAGTTCTGGTGTAGACCGGAGTTGGGCGGAACTTGATTTTCAGCTTGCGAACTGGGCGGAACCGGGTTTTTAGGCCCGGTGTAGGGTTGAATTGGGCAGAACCTGACTTTTCGTTTCTTTCCCCGGGCATGCTGGTGGAATGCACGAACGATGCACAGCTTGCGCGCAGTGATCAAAGCTCAGCCATTCAGCACTTGATGATGAAGCTAAATTGGCATGTGCATTGTATTTGGTACAGCGCACCACATTGCATTGCCACTACTCTTGACGTGCAGTTGACTCAAGATTTTGTTTCATCCGATTGTGATGGTGATGGCGTGATGATGATGATGTCCACGCCTCTTTCTTGAAAGCCTACAAAGCAGGTGCTGATTCTAGTACTTCTGCTTGCTTGCTGGATCTAAGCAAATACAATATATATTTAGTCTGCAATAGAACGTTTGCAGATTTGATGGAGATGTTCTGGTCAAGGATCCGCAAATCAGCAAGTATGTGCCCCAAATTACAATGTTCAACAAAAACGTCAAACAAATCACCCCAGAATCTGGGCGGAACTGGGCGGGAATTGGGCGGAACTGGGCGGGAAATGGGCGGAACTAGGTGGGAACCCCAAATTCCCCCCCACAAGCTGCTTCCCTGAGCCCCGGCTTACCCCAAAATCCTTACACAAACGCAAAACATCTTTCTCCACCGCAAATCCTTTCACAAATTCCCAAAAAAGTCTTGCTAAGATCGTGCTGAATTCTCGATGTTCTCACAGGGAAATGCGTGACTAGGCAACTCAACGTTTCAACTTGAAGCCTCGGATTTATCAAAACACCAAAGTCCTGAAGACTCAACACTTCATAAACCTTAAGCCCCACAGCTTTCTGTGCCACCGTGCAAGCTGCACTTCGCCAAGGCACTGGTGTGCACGGGTCTTTTGGTGTACTTATTCGGGCTGAAGCCCACCATCTTACCCTGGATTCTGCAACCCTACAGCCTTGAAGTTTGCGTACCTATCGCTGCGCTATTGCCCTGAACCATATATCAAGAACTGGGCGGAACTGTGTTTTGTGTAACTGTTACTCAGAAACTGGGCGGAACTGAGCGTTTACCAGATTTTCTGGGCTGAACTTGTTGAAATGGTCTAAAATTTCCAGCCCGGAAAAAGTGACCCAAAATTCAGCGCCCCGCGAGGGTCTAGGTATATATATGTATACACATGTACAGATACATGTCGCCGAGGCCTCAAGCGCAAAGAGTGATGGCAGGAGCATGGGCCGGGAAAAAAATGGAAAGGTGGCGGCGATTGGCGTGGTGATGCGTGGTGGCGATTGGGCAAATAAAGACGGCGACGACAAGCATGACAAGAAGGCCACCGAGGAGGAGGAGGAGGAGGAGGAGGAGAAAGACGAGGAGCCGGTGCCGGAGCATGAGCACGATCCTTTGCCGGACGGGCGTAAGAAGCCGCCGCCGGGGGGCGGGGGGGGCCGGGGGCCCTCGCCATTGTTCCCCACCCCGTGGAGGTTTTTGTGGCCGGCTAGACCGGTCGATCCGAATGCTGAGGGGTGGAAAAAAGAGCTTTGTCGACTCTTGCGTGGATGTACTTGTACACGTATGTTTGCAGCTAACACGCAACGGCAAGTATGCACTTAACGCATCCGCCCGCCCGGCAGCTCTGACTCCGAGGCTAAGTGCATACTGCTAGTCCGTTCGACTTTGAAGCAATCATTCTGTTGTCTTTCGGTACTGCATTAGCACTGCCTCCTGAGGCATGGCTTGTGTGCTGTTTTGACCCGCGGTCATCTCAGCTCGAAGATCTCGACAAGGCACCGCGTGCCCGCTGTCATTTCTTCTTAGATCTTTCTGCCGCGCAGTTTGATCTTAGCTCCGCTGAGCACTCCTGCTGTCCGCTGACACAGGTCACTACACATTCATTCTGCCGCGCAGTTTGAATTTTTAGCTCCGCTGAGCTTACCTGCTGTCCGCTGACACAGGTACGGTGTAGACGCTCTGCACCGCTGGTCGGAACCTTTGCACCGCGTGCTTAGCTTCCTTCCAGTTGTATACGGTTAGTGCCGCGTACTTTCCGCTATGCCCACTTGCAGTAGTACTTGGCTTCTGCACGCCTGCTCCGCTGAGCATCGACTTCCAGTCCGCTGACTGAGGTCGTCTAGTTGGTCTACGATTACATACTTTAGGGTGCCGCTCTCAGTACCGCGTACTTGGAAGTCGATCTGCGAGCACTCCATGGAGGACGCCGCCCGCGCACTCAACTCCCTGGATTTCCGCTCCGTCCTCTTCGTTGAAGAAGTCGCAGCGCACGATGTGGTGATGGATCGCATCTACAACTTGCCCGCCAACGTGATCAACGGCATGGATGGCACTGACCATTACAACACGTCGCACGGCGTGCTGTACGATCACTTACGATCGCTCAAGTGAGGGATTTTACGAGTACCGCGACAATCAGGACCATCATAGACATGAAGCTGCTGAGATCTGCGGCATTACAAGAGGCATACAAGGGGTTTTGCCGAACAAGCTCTGAATGCCGCACTGCCCCGCAACACCTGAAAACCAACCTGCAGTGGGAAAACACTCTCAAGTTCAAAGCTTTTTCAATTAACGCGCCAAAGACGGGCGGGGTTAAGGGCTCTTTGCTGGTTCTAGCCACCCTCAGGTATATAGGCTCTGTACGGTGAAGCCCTCAACCCTGCCACAAGGCTTTTTCTGCGAAAAAATGCAAATGAAGCCTGACCTAGATGCACAGATAGCTGGCTATGCGAGAATGGCTCTTCCAGACAAGGAATCCTGAGCCCTGAACCCAGTACTACACCATATTACACCATAAGCCCTTGGACTGAACACAACTCACCACACACCTGCGCCCTAAGGCCTGAAGTCTTTAACCCCACGGACCCCGAACACTGTTTGAAGCATAGACAAAGCATGAGACCCGTACTCAGAACATTACAACCTCTGAGGGCTTATATAACAAACCTAGATATGCCTCATGCAACTCTGAATGGACGGAGGTGCTTTCTAGATACTTCTAGGGGGGGAGTCTGCAAGGCATTTGGGGGATGCGCAAGGCATTTTAATGCCTTGCGCCTCCCCCCGCCAGGGGCTGCCACAAGGCATTTTCTGGGAGTAGTGATAACACCACCATTTTCCTGGGCCGGTCTGTCAGCACGAGAGCTGCTGAGACATGTTGAGCTTTTCCAGCGCGACCTGCTGTAGTCTTGAACGTCAGACCCTTGAGTGCAACCAGCAAACCTTATGAGCTGTGCGGGTTTTTGTTGCGGATGCAACAGACTTGTACTTGCCCTGTTAACAATGCGAATTCCCTGCACCCTGAACCAACACTAAGGAGACCCTAAACCCTCAAACCCTGAAGCCGCCATATCGCTGACTTCCTGCTCCAGTGCCACAGCTCTCGTGGCCCAGAAAGTTCTTCCAGGAGAGGTGCCCAGCAGAGAAGCCCAAAGGCCCGCTCTCTATTACAAGCTTAGACGTTTAGGGTTTAGGGTTTCGGGTTTAGTGTTTAGGGTTCAGGGTTTAGGGTTTCGCAGTACCATCGTTACAGAACTACCTTAAACTGCATTAGAGATCCCTCGTATGAATGAAGCTATATTGGCTTTGTGGGAGCTTCTAGGTTTGACAGAACTTTGCAAGGCCCAGTCTCCCCCCCCTAAACTGTAAACCCTAAACCCTGCACCCTGAACCCTAAACCCTGACGTCTGAATGCTGAATGAATGGAATGCTTCCCTCAGGCTAAAGCTCAGGGTGTTGGACATTCTTTTTGTTGTTGTTGTTGTGTGTGTGTGTTTTTTTTTTTTTTTTTGGGGGGGGGGGGGGGGCAGGGCTCGGGGATTTGTTCCTCTGAGAACAATAGTTTTTCTTTCTGTCTTTGCCAGGCCCTTCGTTGTGGGAGCCTTCTGGGGATTCTAATGAGATGGACGTTTTGGTGCCTCGTTGAAGCCTTTGGAGGCATTTGTTTTGGTGGTTTCGGGTTTTTGGGCAAATCGGATTTCGGAATCTCGAAATGTTTCCAGTCGGGTTGGGAATGGGGGGAGAAGGGGGCTACAATAAACGAAAGTATTTGGAATGAGCCATGGTGCATAGGAACATGAAGACATACATTTGCTATGGTTAAAGGTCTAGGGTTCAATTGTTTTATCTTTCACTCCGGCATGTAGGGGCTGTGCTTTGTGCGGTGCTGGCGTGTTTCGACACATCCTCATGTTCGATTCAGGATGATCTAGTGGCAACTAAACCATGCTTAAGCAAAATGAGCATTTCGTGTGTTTCGGGCATTGAAATCATCTGCGACCCAACCGCCTTAACCCTAAACCCTAAACCCTAAACCCTAAGCCCTAAAACAAAAACAGGCCTTGAGGGTTTAGGGGTGTGAGCGTGGTCTTTGGGCCCACAAGCTCGGTCTGCCAACGCATGGACTCTCTCGCCGTGTGCTAAAACTCCAAGTGCATACACTCTTTGGGTTATTGCATGGTCCCTCGATGCAGGCCCTTAATCGGAGACCCTTATATACCCCTTACATACACTATAAAACCCAAGGTCCCATACTTCAGGGAAATGCGAAATCGCCAGCTGTCAGTACCAAAATACCAACGATGGCGATGGACTGATGCTTCTGCAATGGGTACTATAGGCGGAATCGCTTTTCGGCGTTCCGTCGCTTTATAGGGTATTGACTCGACCCTTCAGCATGCAAACGTCCTCCAGGGTAGAGCCGCGATACACCACTGTTTCAAATACCTATGCATGCCATACCGTCACATACAAGTTCATGAATGCGTGAGGGGCACACACAGAATTGAGTCCCTCTATAGACAGGGCTGTCAAGCACAAAATTAACCCAAAGCAGGGATCTTCTGTACGTATCCCCCCTTATGTACTGTACCCCGCCATGACGTCGGTGGAAGAATACCCAGAGCTGCTCTATTGTTTTGTTCTTAGCCCTGCCGGTGTTGGAAAAAAGACATTCTGGGGTTTGGAAAAAGATTCTCAATGTGCAAAAGGGGTTGAGAAAAAAACAAAAGTCTTTTTTTAACCCCAGTGAGAAAAAATCGGGGCCAAAAAGGAGATTTTAGGAATGAAAAAGCTGGCGGGGTCAAGAAAAAGACATTCTGGGGCCAAGAAAAATAGAAGCCCGAATACCCAAGAAGCTACTCGAAAAGGAAGTCTAATTGATCATGCAGCACCCTTGTGTGGCAAAATTCGCATTCTTCTGCAGCCAGGGGTTCTCCAAGGCGGCTGCGGCCGTGGGCCGCCCTTGCGACTCCAAGCGAAGCAGCTCTGGGGCCAGGTTGAGTGAGCCCCGGCCCTGGTCACTCCAAGCAGCGGTACGCTCCAGCTTCGGGGGGGTCTCGGCCAGAAGCTGCTGATCTTTCGGAAATTTGGCCAAGGGCTGAAGTGATGTTGAGACACCCTTTTTGGTCTAAATTTTGGATTTGAGCTGGTGTTGATGCATCTTTTCGTTTAAAGGGTTGATTGGGCGAAGTGAGAAGACACGCTTTCAAGTTCAATTTTGTTGGTCTTTGGGCGAAGTCGCGTGGAAACACTTGAGCGAAGTGCATCTCAAAAGATGTTCGCTAAAATCAAGGAGAAGTGCCGGCAAAAGACAGAATATCCAAAAATTTTCGGGGTTTCCCGGAATCAATCAAAGGGGCATATATAATGGCGCCAAAAGAACATCTCCAAGAGGTACCAAGAAATCGAGATGGCAGATTAGGGTTGCGGGCAATCCTTAGGAGAGAGACTTTTTCTGGGAGCCCGACGCGCGAGCGGGGCGGGAGCTAACTTGTTTCATAGGAGTCTCAACGAATGATGCATCTTGAAGGCATGCTATCAGGAGACGTTGCCTAGACCAAGAAGCCTGTCCTTCAAACAGATGGTAGCACGGCTTTACCGCCCGGAAGTCCATCAAGATTCTGCCCCATCGCAAAGATTCTGCCGAGTCCGAGACCCCAAAGATGGTAAGAATGACTGTATTTTGTGATGAAATATCGCAAATATCTATTTGGTGATGTAGTGTCACAACCATGCGGCATGCGATTGAACGTGATCTTTTGGGGCGGCTAGGGTTTAGGATGTGGGGCTCAGGATGGCTCAGGGTTGACCTAGGCAATACAATACCAGTGCTAAATTTTCAGGGGTCCTTTACCTGATAGCCTCGTTCATGACGTCCGTCGTCCGTTTTTCACGTGCCCTTTTGGAACCACCTACAGTGTGGTTATTGGTGTATTCAGATTCGGGGTCCATCTTTGCTTCTAAGTGGGGCTCTTAGACCCCTGCTATGGGGCCTTAAAGCTGCAAGCAGAGGGCCTGCAGTTGATCTTAGCAGCTGCGAACGATCCTTGACCCTACCTCTCTGCTTGTTCTCCAAATAGATCACTGCTAAGTAGTGGCGATCTCCAAATAGATCACTGCTAAGTAGTGGCGACTGCTTACGTTGGAATGCTAGTGCCCTTCGAGCCTCAATATGTCTCAAGGTCATCTGCACTGATGGACCTTCAGCCCCAGACTCAAACTCGATCAGATCCCAACACGTTGCTGCCTCTCAATGAGCCTTGCCCAGCGGTGCACGCGAGATCACAAGCCGCAACACGCTCACGTACAGGTAAACGAGGAAGAGGACCAGCAATGCACCTCTTGAACACCAGGCAGTGGCAGCTGCCATGCCGCTTAAAGTTTCTCTTCATCAAGGTCTAAAGCAGCACTAAACCTTAGACCCCAAAGAAACAAAACAAAAGCATTCACAAGGCACATGCATCGGCCCAGTAGACTAAGCGCAAGGAGATCCAATGGGGACTGCGTCACTGAAAACCGAACGAAAACATTTATGCAGAAGATCCCCGGACCTTGCTTGGTAGACCCTAAGCCCTGAACCTTTGGCCCCTTGCTTGGGACCAAGGCTTCCGTTGGAATGTGCCTCGGTTACCTCTAGATGGTTGTTTAAAACAATAAACTCGGCAATGAGTATAAGAATACGCGCAGTGTTTGAGCCAGAACTAGGAGGAGAAGAACCAGAATTCCTACTCATGTTCAGACAATGACAAATCACAAGGTGCCGGGTTCCCTGCTCTGCCAACTGCTACCACTTGGTTACAAGCATGAGCAGGGCAGTTGTGAATCAAAAGTGCCTACCTTTTTGAAGGAGCTTGGGCTGTCACTTGACAAAGCTCATGAAAACCAGGGTCTGGTGCGACCCAGGTACTGGTAATGCAAAGAAGGAGGCCGAGGGCATCAAAAAGACGTACTGGGTTCGAGACACAAAGCACGCGGCCTCCATGGCTCAAGGGTTTTGTAACGTTAAATCACCCTTTTAGGTTTAGGGGGTTTTTTAACGTTAAAAAACCCTAAGCATAAATACTGACTCAAACACCGCAAACCGACACGAGACTACCATCACATGGCCTCCCATGCCCACGACATGCGCATCACAAACCTTGAAAGCACAGGGTGACGCTCCAACTTTAGGTTGCTGCTCCGACTCCAGATTGCTGCGCCAGGTTGTGGGTAGTGGGCCTGCTCATATCTACTCATCCTCATCTTCTAATCCTTCGAAATGTCCCCTGTGAAAAAAAGACTGTTCCGCCAGCACCCCAGCCTCATGGATTGAAGCAGAGTCTGCAAAGACTGCTCACTTGCATCTACCACTACCACTACTACTCGTACCAAAACAATCACTACCATTACCCCATGACCCTGGCTAAGATGTGCCGCTGACCTCACGCACCACTTCTGCTTGAACACGGTTTCCGAACCATTCGTCTTCCCTGAAGTGTCCTCAGAACGCTTAACCAAATGTGGCCCATCTTCAAGCCCAGAAAGGTCCATGGCTAGCGCACAACGTCCAAGTCATCGCCAGGCTGCTTTGACCTTTAAGCAACCAAGCTTTAGTCTGGGCTTCTTTTCTTCGACCGATGTGGTACCGGAAACTTGCCACGGCCTACTTGATGGAAGGAGGGTAACAAGCCTAGTCGCATAGCACAATGGACCTTGGGTTGTGTGCTTTTTTAGACTCAGGCGGATTTTGGAACATGCAAGCTATGCAGAGCGCCAAGCCAAAGAAGTTGGGCAGGTTTGCATGTATACCACCAATCTGCAGGCACGTAACTCCCTGCGAATCTTCCGGGACCAGGCGATGCGGATCCCCAGTGTAGCGCTTCGGGCCAGTCAGTTGTATGCTGTCAGCCTGCGCAATGCTCTTTCCATTCCTGAGTGCAACATGTGCAACATGAGCAAAGGAACACAGCCTAGCGTTAGATTTCAAAAAGCCTGAGTAACTAGAGCCTCAACCATCCTCAACACTCGACCTTAGCAAACCCTGGTTCTTCTTGACTGGCAATGGCCAAGGAGCCAATCCCGCTGCTGCGAGCACCTAAGAATCGCAGAGTTCAGGATCTCGGAATGTCGGGTTCGGGGTTTAGGGTCAGGGTTCTAAGGAGTGGCGAACAAGCATACACTGTAGGATCTGCACATCATGGTTCTGGGACGCCCAGCCTTGTGTACGCCTCAATCTGTCGCATTGGAGGCTTTGTTATCCATCCTCAACGGCCCAGGCAGGGCTGCGTGGGCGCACACAAATAATTATCCCCTAAAACCTACACCCTAAACCCTAAACCCTAAGCCCTCAAACCTAAACCCTAAATCCTCCAGCAACAGCCAGGTTCCCTTCCCGTGGAGCCTGCAGAGCCGTGGTTCAGCTGCCAGACGAAGAACATCTGCACCCCGTCTGGCTGTGTCTCCTCAGACATATCGCAAGCATGATGCCAGCCTGCTTGCACCGAATGCCTCGATGGCCTTGGCCCAAGACAATGACCTGGCAAGGCTCCGGCCACAGTAGGTCCCTCAATGAAGATATGCGACGTGGAAACATGAACTCATCCAGGTCCAGCTGCGCGATCCAGAAGGATGACTTCTGCCTGCGGGTAAGAGGTGCTAGAGGAAGATGCTCGGAAGAACCAGATCACTATAGCATCCATGACCCGGCAAGTTCCCGCAGCCTGGCAATGCCTCGGACATATGCCGAGGACTCAGAGGATCTGTCCCAGCACATGATGCAAGTATGGTACAGCACATCCCGAGCTTTCTTGTTCCAAGCCAGAGTGGCTAGTCACTGCGAACATCCGAAAGTCGCGTTCCTGCAGCCTATTTCCAGGCGCGAGCTCGTCAATTGGGACGCAGCTGCCGCTGGCCGTCGGGCGGCAAGGCCATAGATCCTCCGCTCAAGGGGCGTCATCTGCCAGGCCCTAGAGCCACGATTTAAGCTTTGCAGGCTTCAGCTTACTGTTAGTCGCGGATAGATGAAACAGGGAAAGCAAGCATTCTACGAATGATCCATTCGTTCCTTCCCTATTTCCCAACCGTAATTCAAGCCCATTCAAACTTGCGGGCTGGACACCACAATGCCCCGTGCAGTGTAGGGCTCCACCAACTGCCGAGTGGAAGTGAGATTCTTGGCATCATAGATGACGAAGTGGTCCATCCCTGCGGCTGAATGAAAATCGATCCACTCAAGCCTAGGCTGGACATTTTGGTTCGAGCGATGCATGCGATTTGCGGACAGGTCATAGACCTTGAAGTATTCACGCCACTCCACGTGACTGTGATGTACGTACATCGCGTGATCTTGACACTCCCTTTCTTCAACGGAACAAGTTCTGTCCGGAACGCTTGCTTGACATGTTCTCTGAATTCTCTGAGAACATCGTTGCTGAGTCTTCGCAACCAGATACCTTTGAGTTGCCAGGAAACCGAACACTACCGCACCGAACCAAGTCTTGTAAAGATGCATCTGTATTGGAATCCACTCAAGCCCCGCCCAACACAATGCCTGCCATCGAAAAGAAATCCACAGACTTGGACTCCGCCATATTGGAATTCGAAGTCGACCCCAACATGGCAGTGAGAGGTGCTTCTACTTCAAGCCATCTCAAGCCCTCGGAATGATGCTTTGAATGCTTTGAGTAGCAGATACTCATCCTCAGAGGTCGCCAGATTCACCTGCGAGTGCATTGGCTTTCGGGAACCAAAAAAGTGAGGACATCGGAGTTTCTGCTTCTATGAAGTCTCTTCGCCTCGAGAACGGCTGTGATGAAGTGGCTCCTGCCTTTATACTCGAAGGTGTGAAAACGGCGCTGCCTCTCGGGCCATGTCATGCTCCTGGATCGAGTAAGCTCGCTCGAGTTTAGAGTTTGGGTGGTGGAAGAACTTCTGTGCAAAAGCAGTCCGGAAGGCATCCATGACAGGCAGGAAGCGCATCTGGCGACCGGGAGTCTGGCAAGAACTCATATGCTCCCGCTCCTGCAACGAGGTCTGCCCTTTGTTGTTGAGGTCTACCCTGAAGCCCGAAACCCTAAACCTGAAGTCCCAAACCCTCAACCCGAAAGCCCACTACGCCACTCGAGCCTCCCGCTTCACAAATTCTGCTGTCAACTGGCTGTCCTTAGCTTTCAGGCACAGCTCTAGCTACGAACCATGGCTATATATCCCCACGAATTTCTGCATGTCCCCCATGGCGTTTCACAGCATGACAATTTCTGGTCATCAGACGGAATCCAAGGTGCCCAAACACGACCTTAAGAAACCCAAAGCCTCTTCAAAGGGAGCCTCCCTTTCTTCCACAGGACTCTGAAGATGAATACTTCTCCAGTTCCGAGAAACTGCTGCCGTCACACCCCAAAGATTCCAATACCCCTTGATTAAGGAAAACTCCTTAAAAATGTAAGAGGGTTCCGTATATTTGTTAAAGAGTTTTCCTCAATCAAGGGGTATTGGAGTCCCTGGACCTTGCTACGACTCTTGCAGCCGGGCTGCTTCAAGCCCATCTGCATGCAGCCTCGAGGCTCTGCGGTGGACGAACTCCTGGCTTTGTGAAATCAGCAGCTTCAACCTCCAATAGCAAAAAAACACGAAAATATGTACTAAATCCTAAACCAAAAACCCTGAACCCTAAACCCTAACCCCCCTTCATAACGATTGAACAGTGCGTGGCGAGCAGTCAAAGTAGCGGGAACGGCACACATGCACCCATGCGCTGCAAGAGCCGAAAGATTCTATACACACACACACACACACACTCATCTGCGAAGTCGTGTTGCAGGAGGCGTTGCAAATCCTCCTGCGTTGCTTCAAATGCGGCCCCTAACTCCTCTCCACTCGCCATTCGGAGATGACACACAAATGGGGTTTAGGGTTTGGGGTTTAGGGTTTAGGGTTAGGCTTAGGGTTAGGGTTTAGGGCTTAGGGTGCATGCTGAAGACCTGTTGACGCGGATGATGTAGCCTTCACAACTACAGATGCAGCACGTCAGGACATGTAGAAAATCCGAATAACGGCACCTCCTTCGTCACAGAAAGACCTTTAACTCATGACCAAACATATGAATAGCGTACCATTAAGCAGTTGTCGGTAGCAGCACAAGAAGCAAAACAGTATGCGTCGCACAAAGTACATCACCAATGAAAGGTTCTTTTTGCATACTGGAACCATACGAGCAATATTACGAACGTATAACGGCAAGAGTCATGACGAATATCATTGCTGAAAAGAAGCATCTATTCGTAGCGATGTTTAGGTGCAAGGCCCATATACTACTCAAATGTGCGCATCTGGCTTTGGCATCGTACACAGAAGCGAGCTCTGTTTGTACAGCACGATACTGCACGCAACGCCAACACACCTCCCTCCCGTCGGAAACAAGCGTGAGCATGAAGGAAGTACTTTCCAGGTGTCCAGTCCTCGCGGCTTCGTAGCGCATAATGGTTCAGCTCGATCTCAGTGGGGAACCACAATGACATCAGCAGGCAGCGCCTTTCCAGGGCATGATCTTTCCCGGGTACCCGTTCTGATCTTTCCAGACCCCGACATAAGGAGATTCCGACAATCCGGAGGTATGAATATGGAGGAATCCCCAGAATAAGGACTCTCGTATTTGGGGACTTTTTGGGGGGCCGCCCCATTTTAAACACGCACCCAATTTCAACAAAGGAACAGGGACTCTTGAGCCAAGCAGTCGCCCAGGCAGCGAATCGGGAAAGAGAACCCAAGCGCGAATAGCACGAAGGGCGCCAGGCTGGCCCCGGCAAGAAGGGCGACCCGACCTCAACTTTCTTGGAAGGCTTCATGCACTACTCTACTCTTACTGGCTCGTGCCGCAAAGTCCTGTACAGCCTTAAGACTTGTCTGACTCTATAGCCCAAATGGATCCGAATGGCGGGGGTCAGCCTTGGTCCTATCATGTCACACCCAGCCTCAGCGCGACCTCAGAAAGGGGCTGTTGCGCGAGACAACAGTCTCCAATGCTGCTCGGAAATGTTTCACAACATCTCTCCTTGTGCGATTTTTTCGTGACAATGGCTTGCTCATGTGTTATCCATTTACTGCTAGTTGTGCGTTGCAATCTTAAGAGGTGTCCGCCAGCAGGCGAACTCTGCATCTCAGTCTCGAAAAGCCTACTCGAAACCATGTTTCCTCTCCTGTCCCTCAATCTCTCTTACATGTCTCCCCTTGTGTCCGTATATGATCCTCCTTTCTTCGTGTATCCGTGTATCCTCTGCACTGATCACAAGTCCCTTCCCTCTGCTCTGCTCTGCTCCAGCTAAATCCGACTCCTGGTTTCTGGGTGCAGAAGATTTCTTTCCATCAACGCAAAAGGCGTGGGGATGCCACTCCTCACCCCCAAAAAGCAGTGGCAATCTGGCCCAAACGAGCACAGCATCTCTTTGCATCAAACATATGCCACGATGCTCATTCTTGAGCCCCTCACGGAAGCCACGATTGGTTGCAAGTGATGAAGCATCTCCCAGTCTCATCAGCATGGGCAGGCGGTGTGGCTCCATGGCAACCAGAATGGAAACCTTGCCTGCGTTGTTATGTTCGAATGCTGTCCTGGCCATTTCACTTTTCAAAATACGGCGGTTTCCCAAAACTAGGGGTAGCTATTCTTCTTGGGCTCCTATGAGAGGGATTATACTGTTTGGGGGTACATACGGGGTAGCACTATCGTAAAACATGCTCATGCTCAGTGCCCTGCTTACAACCCAAGGACTACCGGGCTTCTGCAAATATTTGCCCCCGCTACGATTGGTCTGCGATCCTGGTGCCCTTCACTATTTTTGTGAGCGGTGTGGCAACGTTCGTTCTGTGCGTCCATGAGTCCGATCCGAAAGACCTTTGGGATTCCCAAGGGGAGCATGGCATCCGACACTGCTGAGAAGGCTGAGTTTAAGCTGACAGACACTCTCAACAAGCATCTGCGCTCCTGAACTTCGGCCAGTTGAGCAAGTATGTGGTCAGAGCGATTCATCCTTTGAAATCCAACCACCTCGACCCAGGCCTTAGCCGAGAGTACATGGTATCTGAATCCGTTTATCTCTTGCCGACTGGAAGCGGGCCTATTTCAAAATCCTAAGCAAGATTCAGGGGCCAGAGAAGGGAATCTAGCTTTCGGGTGGATTTCGGGAAGCCTTTAATGAACAACTTGTTCCGAAGGGGCAGAGGCGCGCCTTTGCGGCGAATTTCTCTAGCACGACTGAAAGTACCACACGGCGGTGCCCAGTGTACCCAAACGATGTTTGGCTGATCTAAAATGCCTCTGAGAATGGTCGCTCCCATTGCGGTGGTAAGGTCCACTTGGACCACCTTGACCCCCTGGGCTTTGACCGCGTGATCAAGGGCAACAACCTGAAAGCCAGCGTCCGCTGCCGCTTTACTAAGGCGAGCGAAGCCGCAGAAGACTTCCACAACGATACCACTGGCAGACAATGGCAGTGCTAAGGGCGTGGGTGACTGGCTCGGATCGGCATCCTGAGATGAAGTCACTGAGGATAGGGGCGGCTGTGAAGACCAACTTGGAGAAGGCGCAGTTGCCGACGATTTCGGCCTTTCGCTCGATACTATCGACGTGCCCTTGGGCTCTTCTTGTGGGTGGCGTTGGGGCAGTTCGCCGCTCCATGGTCAGGAGACCCGCACACCATGCAAACGTGGGAGCCGCGCGCATTCCGGCGGACTCCCGGATGTGGGGAGGGAACATCCTTCCTCCAAGTTCCACATAACAGCGGCGCTTGCCAGCTCCTTGGGCATTGGCGGGGGTTTGGAGGCGGGCGGCCCTGGCGCGCGTGCCGCGGCCCGCACCGCGACCACGCGCATCTCCTCGGCCGCGAGCGGACCTCGAACGGTCCTTGCGGGTTTCCCAACCCCTTTCACTTCGTTCCTGGCCCCCTTTCCTTTTCCTTTGTCTTTGTTAGGGGACCAACCAGGGGCAGGAAGGAGGGTGACCATGTGGTCCGTATGCTTTTCTTTGGACCAACTTGTCCAGAGGGCGGGCGCCGTCGGCCTGCGCGAAAGAATGGTCACAACTCTTTGTCTGCTCTGACAATATGCCACACTGGCTTCATGAATCCCTGGCGGGGCGGGCCTACTGACCACGTTGAAGAAGTGCCGCGCGAGCTTTTCGTGGACCTGCCAATCCAAAAGCCGACGCGGTCCAGGGCCAAGCCTCTGCGAGAAAAGGCTGGAGGAACTTTCTTGCTTACGTAGCGACAACTCGCCGCCTTCAATGCTCAGGAACTCCTTACTCCTCTTCGTGGAGGCAATTTCTGCGTCACGACTCGTGCACGCACTCGGTGGGAAAAAGCGTACTACGCCATCTCTCATCATCATGGCAGCTTTATCGACCAAAGCATTGCTCGGGTCAAGCTCGCCTTCAATGAGCACGCCTAGCAGGCGCTTAACTTGCGCTGCGCGTTTGTCCTCTCGCTCTCCGAGAGGCATGGGGCGTGACACTGTCAAATCTGGGTCGCTTCTTGCTTTCATGTCCTGCAGGCTGAATGTCAGGCCCTCGAAGGACAGGCGTCTGACCGCTGCTTCAACTCTCAAGGAAGGAGACGTGCCAAAGACCTTCTCAACCACTTCGGTTAAACGCATCACTGATGTGGTCTGGCTGGTCCGCCACTGCGAACGCAAGGGTCCTAAACGTGTCCAGACCCTGAGCGATCAACTTGTCGACATTGTCTTGAGAAAGAACCTCCTTGGCCCTTTTTAAAAACTCCGCTTTGCTGTCAACCAAGAATGTGAAAGTTCCTGTCTAAGGACATGTTAACTTTGTTGTCCTGCATGCTGGCTCAGAGTTGTGTGTGTAGTTGTAGGAACTCCGTAGTTGTGCCTTGGAGGCTCGACGGGAGTGCTGCTTTAAGTGGGAAAGCCTTTTGAATTGCTTGAGTTGTAGGGATGTGTGTCTGGAAGCTGTAGAAGTGACTGTGCACGTTTTGCTTGCTTTAGGTGTAGTTGGGTAGGTCCCGAGAACTCCCACTGACGTTTGAGTTTGTTTTGTGGCTGTGGAGAACACGTGGCAGAGCAGAGTTTTCACCTGTGTGTAAAGAGTTTCACTGACGAAGCCTCCGGCTTATGACTTTGGCTCAAGTCGTGAGAAAAAGAGGGTTCAGCGCGCTGCTGCTGTGTTTTCACATGGTAGCGGAGCGTGTGTAGCACGCTCGTAGAAACTAGAAGCCATGGCTGACCCCGGGCTGTCGACCCCTGTGCCTGAAGACGAAGACGACGAAGCTTTGTTTGGCCCCGGTGGTGCCCAGGACGGGCACCAACCGCCAACACAATCCCCTGGAGCTTCTGCTTCAGCGGGAGGACCCGCCACGGTCGTCGGACTTGACCCTCAACTCCAGCAGATGATGGTCCAGATGATGCAGAGTCAGCAAATGATGATGCAGAATCAGCAACAGACACTTCAAGTTCTGGTGGCAAAGATGGAGGCCGACGAGAGAAGGAGACGTGAGCAGGAAGCATTGTCGGCAGCTGTGAGCAACCCATTTGGGGGTGCTTCAAGTGCAGCAGCTGCTGGAAGTCCCACGGCAAAGGCTTCTGCTCCTCCACCGGCACCATCACAGAACCTGCATGTTGGAAGTAACCGTGCAGAGAAGTATCTGCCAGCATTGCCGCTCATCGATAATGTGTCGATGGGAAAAGGGCGTGTGAGAGAGCTGGAGGAGTACCATCGGTGGTGCGAGGTGCTTGCTTCCTGGCTGGCGTTGATAGACGACAACTATGTCAATGAGTTGCGCCAGGCAATGACGCATGACCGTGAGATCAAGCAGTCTGACATGGCAGTTCCGGTAGCCTCGCGTTCGGCAAGGTTGTTTTACTACCTGCAACAAAGTCTGCAGAAGTTCGAACGTGGGATGGAACTGGTGAGAAGCACGTCGATGCGTCAAGGACAAGCTGCTTGTGGTTATGAGGTGATGCGTCAAATGCACCAGACCTTCAGCATTGTCTCTCGCATGGAGGCCATTGCTGTGAGAGATGAAGCCCTTCGCCTAACTTCGAAGGCGAGTTCGTACAAGCGACCGCTTGACTGCGTCCGCTTCCTTGAGGACGAGCTTGGGAAGGTAGACCAGAAGCTGCATCGGTTCCCTGAACTGAGGCTTGGAGCATCTGATCGTTCAACCCTTCTTCTTCAATCTGTCAGCCCAGAGTGTAGGCATTACGTTGTCCTGCATGGGAAAGTCTGGGAGCTGGGAGGAACTGGTTGAAAGCATCCGGTTCTACGAGGAGCAAACCCGATTGTGTGATGCTGGTTCGCTGAATGCAGTTGGGGAGCGCGGCCTCTGCTGGAACTGTGGCAAATCAGGCCATATGAGTTGGCAGTGCCCCGACAAGAGCTCTGGCAAAGGGAAGAAGAGGGATGAACCGAAAGGTGGAAAGCCTTCTGGTTCCAAGAATCGAGAGAAGAGCCCTAAAGGGAAGGGCAAAGGCAAAGGGAAGACAGACAAAGGAAAGGGTGGAAAGCCCAAGGGGAAGCCCAAGAACAAAGGAAAGCCCAAGGGCCGAGCTGTGGAAGACGAGCAGTCTGATCAGGTGATGGCAATGCGGTCTCATCATCTGAGTGGCTTGGGTCCGGGGACAAGAACTAATGAGCCCAATGAAGCTGAGCCCCCTCGTCTCACCATGACGAACGGAGAGATCGAGAGACTGAACCAGTCCTCCTCTAGGAATAGCTCTTTCGCATGGCTCATTGATAGTGGAGCCACCTGCCACGTGTTGTCAGAGAGTGCGTTGGGTTTTTACGAAGTCGTCAAGGAGCATTCGGGACCTCTTCCTGTGCTCATGAGTGCTAGCGATACGCCCATGGAATGTGTCAAGTTGGTTGACATTCGGGTGAAGTTTGGGAAGTTGGGGCCCGTAGTGCTTCAACAGGTCTTGGTTTGCAAGATTGGTTTCAACGTAGTCAGTTCTTGGCAAGCATCCCTTTCGGGATGGAGTACCTGGCTCACCTCAGAGCCTGGAGCAAGCTGCTTGGTGAAGCAGACGGAACGAGGTTCCTCGATGTGGGTGCCTTTGGTTCGTGAAGCCAGGAGCTGGTGGGCGTTGGCTAAGGAGATTGGCCCTACCAAGGCAAAGCCGAAAGGAAGAAGAAGCAAAGGGGACTCACCCAAGCCGGGGTGGAGCCCGAACGACGACGCGATGGAAGTGGATAAGGTGCAGAAGAAGGCACCGCCCAACGTAGGAAGAGCATTGGAGGTGACGCCTTTTAAGTTTTTGTTGCGAGCATTTTCAGTGAAGCAACATGTGGGGGAACATGAGCTGCATGAGCATGTTTTTCAGGAGCGTTTGAGTGGATGTGAGCATGCTGCAGTTGCGAAAGTAGGAGTAGACCTGGAAACCCCACCCTCTGCATGTTGTGCTGAAGCTTTATGTTCCGCCGCAGCTGTTGTGCTTAAGTCTGCAAGCAACACGTCTTTGGAGAAGCAAACCAGTAGGGACACACGCTGTGGAGACAAGGGTTTTGAGTGCGTAGGGGTAGGGCCTGTGCCGCTCCAGCCTCAGAGTG